GAAGAGCGATATCAATCATCTTCGGATATGCCATATTCAGATCTGTATGTTCCACAAGAAAATACGATACTCGAGTTTATACTCACGAAGAATCGAAAACACTTAGCGTAAAAGAGGGATGAATAGGCGATGAAACTCACTTTCCATTGTGTTTTTGAAAGTTTCCTGCACGGGACGAAGACAAAGAGACGCCTCGAGGGATTCAGGTAGGATATATATCTGTACGTTCGATAACGGAGTGAGACCAGTAAGAAAGGATATTGCCTTATCTTTCGTTAAATCGTTGATTGTATTTCACCTCTTCACCAACTGTGCTAACCTGAAACATCAGTAAAGTTTTCACATAAGCAAACACCAATGTCTCTCCTCGGGAGTATTACAAAAATGTGGATTTCATTACCGAGAAACCTTTGTAGTCATGTCCCGGGTAGATCAGTGTGTCCTTGGGCAATGTAAATATCTGCAAAATGCCGAAGTTCCAATTAGGTATGAGATCCAAATCCAACCCTCTTCACATTTTCCCGGCAAGATTACAAATCAAGTAGAGTTACCTGTGAGTGAACAGACTCGTAGAGTTGCTCCGAGCCTCCGCCCTTTTCCAAAACAAAGAAACAGAAGGCAATAAAACTGATCAGTGTGCGGGTTTTTTTCCCGTTATTTCCAGCAAAAGTTTACCGAAATTTCTCTTCCGTACCTGAAAATCTGTCCTCCCACATCCGCGAATCAGTAAAGTGTCACTAGTGAAAGCCATCTTCGGTTTCGGTTGATCCTCACCATCTCCAGTCACATAGGTAACACAACCAATGGTATGGCCAGGTGTAGCACGAACCTATGATCAAGGAATTCGGTTAAGTACGTGACCGACAACCTTTCTGTGTATTACCTCGAGGAAACCTCTTATTCGTATTACCTCGAGGAACAGACCGCCAAAAGAAACATTGTCCCCGGGTTCGAGAAGCACATCAGCCTTTGAACCACTTGCTTTCGAAATAAGAGATTTTACACCTGGAATCTTGGTCTGTGTATGAGACTCGATCAATAACGATACAGCGAACGAAAGCTACGAAACACAACAGTTATAAACAAAAGCCAGACGATAAGAGACAAACCTTGATGAGCCCAGATCCGGTTACATGATCAGCATGAACATGGGTGTTCATGACATAGATAAGCTTCAAACCGAGATCATTGATCAGACTCAGGTCTATATCCACAGTCTTGTCCACTGGATCAATCAACTGCTCGGTATATGCATTACAAGAATAAAAAAACAGGCTGTGAAATTGACTAGAAAGTGATAATTTTGACCAAAGCAATGCAATCACAATCAACTTGGACAACTAGGCTTTATCAATAGCCTTGTCAACACGACCAAGCAACTGCCCAAAACAGACATGAGTTCATAATCGAACGATCCAAATGATCAAGAATGTCAGTATAATCCAGATGGTCAAATCATTCAAATCATCAAACGAATCGTTCGCGATATCGTCTAAACAATCAATCAAACTACTCACATACACATGAATGATCCCGGATAAATTTAAGATTCTTCGTACACATATGCATAATCCTGTTCCAAAACTTTCATCATTCCCGTTGCGTCTGTACATGAAGATCAGACATCAGATATTCAAATTAAATCCCCAAAAACCAGCAGTCAAACCTGAAATCTCAAAACCCATTTCTCAAAATCAAACCTTTACGCTTACCAGAGCAGGTTTATCGGGATGAGACACGTCCGCGAGAAGATACATATAGGTCGAGGACTCCTTTCTCGAAAAGCTGACGAAAGAGGAGCTTCGACGAGGAAGACGACGTCGTATAAGAGACAGAAGACGAACCCATATTCGAGGCCGGAAGGAGCATGCAAGTTCTGATCACAGGATTTCGAAGAGGCGAGATCCCGATGGGACAGGCGCCGACGTTGTCGGATGTTAATCTGTTGCCTTCGCTAATCTGCGCTGCCTTGTTCCACGTTTCCATAGATGCCAGATATCCACGTCAGCATGTAGGCCACGTCAGCATTGACGTAACTCGGAAGCGGCAAACTACAAGACTTGGACCTTCATCACGACGGAGAGAAACTCGAAGGTTGTCTTATTATGCATAACACGTGTCCCGCCTTATCCGTTAGATCAAAGAGGATGATCCAACGGTCGAGATTCGGTGATGTATGATTGGGCCTAAATGGTTATATGGGCCTCGAACGATCACAGCCACGTCAGAATATCACAATTATTGCTAAGAATTAAGAAATATCCTAAAAATCCAATCTTAAATAAAGAATAAAATTTTGTCTTTATATATAAAATCTTTTTAACTATTTTTCTTTTCCCATTAAGTATTATAATGTCGAATTAAATATAACCTAAGAGATGGTAGCCGTCAATCTTATCGACCCCATTTAAACAACGGCGCGTAGCCCTAACTTATATGCCCAAAGCTTGTTTATAATCATAATTATTTTTTGGTCGTATCCATAGGAACAAATGGAACTCTGTGAACCAGTTAGAAGTCAAGATCGACCGATCTATGCACAGTATACTTTTTTTCTTGCAGAAACCGAGATTTACAGGAATGAATGAAATCTTACAATTGTGGTATCGAATTAGCTAATTACTACTGAAGTCTTGCTCAAACACTTACGCATGGGATCCCTTAAATTTTGTATATTTATTTCAACTTTTGTAACAGACTTTGTAATTTTTTGCGGATAGGAATACAACAAGCACATTTTATCAAAAAAAATAATCATCGTAAGTGATTCTAATTCATTCCCTATCTTACCCCTTTCGTCAAGAAATATTAGTCTTCGAGTAAATGAACGTGTTGAGCGTTACTTTCTACCCGAACTAGCAGTAAAAGAGTTTGCATCCGCGGTCCAACTTGATCTGTGCATCTCGAATCGTTATCTTTTCCCTGAATATCCGATCATTTCTCACTTTCCATATCAGATCCACTCTTACGCGTGAAAGAATCTTGGAGATGAGACCCTTGTTTCGATCCAACCCTCGGTTTTGTCTTCCACTCCAATTCCGTATTTGGCCTAGAACGGATGGAGGGTTGTCACCACAACAACCTGCGAAATGACTCCAGATCGTATAGTTGTAATTAAGGACATTCAAAGAACAAATGAGTATGACTTTCATCCTGCAATCCGCATAATTGACATACATTGTCAACCTTAACTCCCCACCGGTTTAGTCGATCCGTCATGGGTAGACATTGTAGCTTCATTTGCCAAAGAAGTATGGCCCTTTTGCGTCATTTTGGGTGGTTCAATTGCCGCTATCTTGATCTGAATCTCTTGGGTGGCCTCACGATCTCCTTGAAAAGTCCATCTCCCCCTAGAGCAACCTGTGTAAGCATCGCATCTCGAGGAACTCGTAGTAACTGCGATCCAATTTCTCCGGTGAGGTTGATTAGTGGACACTACAAGAAAATTCTCGTATAGCTACAAAATTTGCGAATGTTCCGTCACATACACAATTGCGACGGAATACGACGGTTTTACGACAGAAATCGAAAAAAACGAAATTTTGCGACGGAATGCGGCAGATACGTTGTCGTCGCAACAACAAACGTAATTTGTGACAGAAAATGTAAAATGTGTCAAAATTTGGGACAGATTGCGACAGATATATCTGTAGCAACTATTCATTTTAATTATCTTATTTATTTTTTCCGAATTTGCTAGAGATTATCAAATATTATTTTAAATTTATTTTTTTTATTTTTCAGAATTTGTGACGGATATTTTAAATATTATTTCCGTCGCAACTACTAATTTAATTTTTTTTGTGTTTTCGATAAAATTTTTTAAATTTTCGCGGTTTTATTTCAGAATTTGCTACAGAATTTGTACACTAAAAGTCGCGACTTTGTCTTCCTCCTCCAGACTTTGAAATTTTGAGAGAGAGAATCTTCTCCAATTATTTTTTTCTTTCAAAATTTGTCCAGATATATATATAGTGTATATATGTATATATATATGAGTGTGAATATGTATATATATGTATATATGTATATATATATATGTGTATATGTGTGTATTTTGTGTGTGTATGTATGTGTATTTTTCGTGTGTGTATATATTTTGTGTATGTGTTGTTATTGTGTGTAGTGTATATATGTATTTATATATGTGAATGTGAATATGCATGTGTATGAATGTGTTTATATGTTTGTGAATATGTATGTGTGTATATATGAATTATATGTATGTGTATGTTGTGTATGTATGTGAATGTGAATATGTATGTGTGTATATTTATATGTGTATGTATATTTATGTATATATGTATGTGAATGTGTATGTGTTTATATATGTATATGTATATGTATGTGTATGTGTATTTGTGTGTGAATATGTATATGAATTTGTATGTGTATGTGTATTTGATTGTTATATGTGAGATATGTATGTGTATGTATATATATATATAAATATATTTGTATATATGTGTATATGTATGTATATTTATGTGCGTATATATGTATATTTATATATAATATATAAAAAAATATTTTTTTAACGGAATTTTCTGTAGCTTTTATATTGCAAAACACAGATTTCGTTGCCGCAATTTAGCGACGAATTAACGACCGACAAATATTTGCGACAACGTTTTACGGACATAAATTGTTTCGTTGCATTCTGTCACAAATTTGTAATTGCGACTGATTTTTCCGTCGCAATTTAATATGTTTCTTGTAGTTAGCTCTAGTCTAATATCAAATCAGTGCAAATTATGGGAGGAAAAGAGCTGTATGAATGGTTAATATAATGCCGAGAAGAAAACAATGGAGATCTGAACAAGAATGCTCTTTTTCTATATTACTTTCTTCTGAAACAATGTACAGTATATGTAGAGAAGATGAATCTAAACCTAAGAAAACTAAGATATTACGGACATGATTTATGGGAAGGTGATTATGTAGAAGAAGGAAAGACATATACATCAGAATCTCAATTAGTCAAGATTGCGGTTCCTGTAACGTCTATTGCTGTCTTGCCATATTGAGCAGGGTATAGAATTCACCTTGACAGTTACTTTGCTCCTTCATCATCTTCAACATTCCCCTTCAAGCTTGGCTTGTGGGGATCAGCAAGACCAAGCTTGGAGAGAATTGTATCATGGATCTTGGTGTTAGGAGCTTTGGTAAACAAATCTGCAAGTTGATCTTCACTTCTGATGTAGGGGGTTGTTATGATACCTTGAGTGATCTTCTCGCGCACGAAGTGACAATCTATCTCGATATTTTGGTGCGTTCATGAAAGACAGGATTGGCGGCAATGTGATTGCGGCTTGATTGTCACAGAAGAGAGATATTGGACTGTCAGAGTTGATGTCAAGGTCTTTGAGTAAGGCTTTGAGCCACACCAATTCGCTAGTTGCAGTGGCCATTGCGCGATATTCAGCCTCCACACTTGACCAAGCCACAACGTTTTGCTTCTTACTTTTCCAAGTGGTGAGATTTCCTCCGATGAAGGTACAATATCCGGAAGTTGATTTTCTGTCTTGTTGATCTTCGGCCCAATCCGCATCGCAATACCCGACAATGTCAACCCGATTGTTTCGCTTCATCCACACGCCTTTTCCCGGTGCACCTTTGAGATACTTTAAGATTCGCTCAACCATAATCCAATGTCGATGTTGTGGGGCATGCATGAATTGACTAATTTGCCCAACAACAAAGGATAAGTCAGGTCGCGTAATGGTCAAGTATATGAGCTTACCGACAATCCTTCGATAGCGTTCGGGGTCTTCAAGTGGTTCCCCCTCCGGAAGATACTTGTAGCCGACTTCGATTGGAGTTTTGACTGGTTTAGCTCCTAATTTTCCTGCACTTTTCAGCAAATCAAGTGTGTACTTCCATTGAGACAGAAATAAACCGTCTTGCGAACGGGTTACTTCTATGCCTAGGAAGTATGTTAGTTTGCCCAAATCTTTAATATCAAAAGAACTGTGTAGAAGTTGCTTAGAGCGTTCTATACCGATGGAGTCACTTCCTGAGATGATAATATCATCTACATATACTAGTATGACCACTATACCTTGCTTGGAGTGAGAAGTGAATAGTGAATGATCACTTTCACTTCGCTTGAAGCCATGGCTGGTTAAAGAGTCATGTAGTTTGGCATACCATTGGCGTGGAGATTGTTTAAGGCCGTAAATCGCCTTCTTGAGCTTGCAAACTTTGTTTCTTTCGAGAGATTGATGTAGTCCCGGGGGGTAGATCCATGTAGATTTCTTCCTCAAGATCCCTTTGGAGGAATGCATTCTTCACATCCATTTGCCAAAGCTGCCAATTCAAGTTAGTGGCGATAGAGAGAACGACTCTTACCGTTGGTAGTTTGGCAACTGGTGCAAAAGTGTCGTTGTAGTCTTCTCCATACGTTTGCGTGTAGCCCTTGGCCACTAAATGAGCTTTGTGTCTTTCTATTTCTCCATTGCTGTGATATTTTACTTTAAATATCCACTTGCACCCTACTGGCTGTTTCTGTTGAGGAAGAGTGACAATTTCTCATGTATCATTTCTTTGGAGGGCCGAGAGTTCCTCTGTCATTGCCCTTCTCCAGACCTCCAGCTGATTGGCTTCTTCGAACGTTTAAGGTTCAGTTTCCTGATCAAGCTTGCTCAAGAAGGTTTGATGATTAGTGGATAAGTGATTTATAGTACAGAATTTTTGTATAGGATGTGTTACCGAATAACCATTGTTGTTATTCATCATCTTGTACGTTGGCTTCTTTAGTAATGAGATGTTTGAAGCTCTGGAAAGTCTGATCCCCCTTCTCGGATCAGAAAGAGGACATGCAACAGGGCTATGACTATGTCCCCCTTCCGTGGATTCAGAATTCTGATATGAAGACGCTTCTTCCCTGTTTTCAGAGTTAGATAAGACATGTTCTATAGAGGTTTGGATTTCACCAATATTACCTGGCTCTGAAAACAACTCAAAGGTTGAATCTCCTTGATTTAGATCATCTCTGTTATATTGAGGAGTTGGTACTTGCTGATCCTGCAACAGAACTGTGAGAGTATTGGAATAATTTGGTTGAGTTTCGGTTATACCTTCCAGGTCTCGCCATTCTTTGTTGTCAAAGTAACTCATGTTTTCCAGGAATCTCACGTCTCTTGACACAAATAAACGCCGGGTTGTTGGTTCGAAACATTTATATCCTTTCTGTTTTGTGGAGTAGCCGAGAAACACACATCTGATGCTTTTAGGATCCAGCTTGTTCCTTTGTCTTTCTGGAACAAAAACATAACACACACATCCAAATATTTTAAGGAAATCTAGAGAGGGACGAGATTTGTTCAATACCTCAAATGGAGACAGATCCTTCAGCACTTTGGTTGGTAATCTATTTATCAAATAACATGCTGTCATAACAGCATCACACCAGAACCTCTTAGGAACATGTCTGTGGAACATCAAGGCTCGAGCTACTTCCATCAGGTGTCTTTTCTTCCTCTCAACTGTTCCATTCTGTTGAGGAGTGTGAGCACAAGAGGATTGATGTTCGATACCTTGTGATGCGAAGTAGTCTTTGAATCGAGAGTTTATATACTCTCCTCCATTATCAGATCGAAAGAACTTCAGGTTAGCATTGTACCGCGTTTTGATGTAGGCGTGAAACCTGAGAAAAGCATCAAACACTTCCCCTTTCGTTTTCAACATAGTTAGCCATGTGTATTTGGACTTCTCATCTATAAAACTCACAAAGTATTTGTAATTCTCTCTAGATAAACAAGGTGCTGACCACACATCTGAGTGAACTAAATCAAAGCAATTATCATAGAGAGTGTTCAAAACAGGGAATACAGATCTACAATGCTTGCCTAAAATGCGGGCTTCACAAAGTTTATGATCAAAGTCAACAGTTGGAAACAAAAGTTTTAATGTTTGGGAGTGTGGATGACCCAATCTGGCATGCCAGATCGAGTTTAATGCAACTCCAGCAGGTTCAGATTTAATCTCGAGAAGATACAGTCCGTTGGCAGTTCTTCCCTGAGCAATAATCTTCCCTGTTTTAATATCCTGAAAGTACACTCCATTAGGACCAAAAACAGCATTAAAATCGAGATCTTTAGCAACTTTATAGACAGATAACAAGTTGTTGGTGAATTCTGGAACATATAGAGCCTCAGTTTCATGATTACACAAGTTCAGTTTTCCAGTTCCTCGAATCGGTACATGTTTCCCATTAGCGACTGATACAGATCCTGAAGCAGTTTTAAGATTGGATAATAATTTCGGGTTGTATATCATATGACTAGTTGCTCCTGAATCTATAATCAGATTATTGCCAACTATTGAAGTTAGAGACACATTACCAGGATCCTTGGATGCTATCATTTTGGAGATGTTGGTTGTGAGATTCTGCATCATTGATTCCAGATCCAGTTTGGTGACATATTCCCCTGTTGTTGCGTTGAAGACATTGTCTAATGTCGTCTGTCCTTCGTTATCAGGCTGATTCTCCCCTGCTAACTTGGCTTTTTCATAGAATGGTTTAGATGTTCCATACCTTTGAGGCTTGAGGTGTGGATTAAGAGCCTAGCATTTGTCCTTTGAATGTCCTTTGCGTTTGCAATAATCACAAAAGTAAGATTTACGCTCATTCGCTGGTTTGGAATGATCAGCTTTATGAGCAATCTCATTGGTGCCAGAAAATAGATTCTTTCCCCCTTCCTCCTTCTTGATCCGAGAACAGATGTCATTGAAGGTGGGAAGTGTGGATTCCCGCAATATGCTCTCGATCAGGTCTTTGTAAGAACTGTTGAGAGCAAATAGGAGAGCAAAGATTTTGTCTTGCTCATGATGCTCCAGTTCAGTCTTTTCGGTAGGAGGGGTTCTTAGTTCACGAAATTCCGACCATAGAGCCGTGAATTCACCCAGCAGTGTCTGGAATGATTTTTCCTCTTGTCGTAGAGAGTAGATCTTGCTCTTCACTTCATAGATCCCGTTGATGTTGGATATATTTCCAAACACATCTTTCAGGGTATCCCAGAGAAGCTTGGCAGATTCAATATGGTTGAAGGAAGCCAAAATTGAGTTGTCGAACGAGCTCTGCATGACGGTGACAACTGTGTGGTCTTCCTGTAACCACTTGTTGTCTGCTTCAGACAGAGGAGTTGCAGATGAATCATCAATATTTTTGGTGGTGGTAACATGATCCCACCAGCCTTTACTCTTGAAGAACATCTTAGCACATCTGGACCAGCTAAGATAATTGTCACCATTAAGGGTGACAGGAATGATTTTCACGACTGAAGTATCCATTGGCGAGTTGGAAAGAGGGAGAGAATGAGAAGTATGGTGGTTGTGTCGGTTTCAGGCCCCGAGAGGCTCTGATACCATGTAAATTATGGGAGGAAAAGAGCTGTATGAATGGCTAGTATAATGCCGAGAAGAAAACAATGGAGATCTGAACAAGAATGCTCTTTTTCTATATTACTGAAACAATGTACAGTATATAATCATAATGGGCTGATTTACCTCCTACGCGTGTGTTGTAGGCTCGTGCGCGTGGACTTGGGGTTTGACCCGCAGGAGCCTAAGCCCAACTATGGCCCGAGCGTTAGGCGCGCCTGGTGGCCAGATCCGGCGGGTTGAGGTCCATGGAGACTGTTAGGTGCGGGTGGTGGCCAGTTCGTCTCCGTTTATAAGGATAGGTAGTCACGGGGTTCTCCAATGTATCAAAAAAAAAATGTACAGTATATGTAGAGAAGATGGATCTAAACCTAAGAAAACTAAGATATTACGGACATGATTTATGGGAAGGTGATTGTGTAGAAGAAGGAAAGACATATATATCAGAATCTCAATTAGTCTATTGTTGTTTTGCCATATTGAGTAGAGTATAGAATTCACCTTGACAGTTATTTTGCTCCTTCATCATCTTCAACAATCAGAAACTGCTTGATCTGTTTTTAAAGAAATTTCTGATTTGATGAGTTTTCTGAGTGTGAATTTGCAATTCCAGAAACAATCAGAATTGTACTGAGAAATGCATGTCATGAATTATACATACACGAACGGAGATTTGTGAATATATAAAGCAAAGGTTACTGAGATATGGATTACCATAAATAAAAAAAGGTTACTGAGATATGCAGATTCCGAATAGTATAGTATTATTGTATCCTTATGTATGGATGCATTGCATATGCACGCATGTTAGGCACGTGGCACATGTGGATGTTGGACGCTGGAGAAGAAATCATTTGACCACCGAGCTAACGAAATTCGAAGCTTTTGCACGAGTGATGGACGTGGAATACCACAAACACAAATTATTATTATTATTATTATTATTATTATTATTATTGACCAAAAACTTCATGGTATCCTCAATGCTTCAGACACCATAAGTCCAAAAGTTGTGGTCCGATTTTAATGTATGGTATAACCTTCCAAACGATGCAGAAGGTTCGGAAAGAGTATAAATATTCCCCGCGTCTAGTTCATTCCTCTCGATTTAATCCTCCTCAGTCGTTAATCATGCTGTCGAATGGAACCAATGGATTGATTCACAAATGTCGCATTGATCTCAGACACACTTTGATTTTTTCTCTTCGGAATCAAGGGTTTTACACTCATGTCGTCTCTAAACCCAATTCGGAAACCCAGAAAGCAAGCAAATTCGGGAAGACGAGCAATGCCCTTGTTTACTTCAATTCTCAGATCACAAAGTGCGGAAGAAATGGAAATCTCGAAGGATCTGAAGCTGTTTTCAGAAGCATGCCGCATAAAAACGCTGTTTCTTGGACTGCTATGATCACGGCCTATGCGGATAATGGTAAAATAGGCAAAGCTAGGAAGCTGTTCGATGAAATGCCTGATAGAACCACGGCTTCTTACAACGCGATGATTACGGCTTGTATAAAAAACAAGTGTGATGTGAGCGAAGCGATTCGTTTGTTCCTTTCAATACCTGAGAAGAACTCTGTGTCATATGCAGCGATGATTACGGGTTTTATTCGGGCTGGGATGTTCGACGAGGCGGAGAAGTTGTATTCCGAGACACCGGTGAAGTGGCAGAACTCAGTTTCTTCAAATGCATTGATAAATGGCTATCTGAAATCTGGGAAATTGGAAGAGGCTGTTCGAATTTTTGAGGGTATGGCAGAGAAGGATTTGGTTTCATATAGTTCTATGATTGATGGGTACTGTAAAATGGGAAGTATCGTTGATGCTAGAGGTCTGTTTGATACGATGCCGGAGAAAAACGTGGTGACATGGACTGCGATGATTGATGGGTATTTCAAAGCTGGCTCTTTTGAAGATGGCTTCGGTTTGTTTCTTACAATGAGGCGGGCGGAAGATGTGAAGGTAAACTCTACCACCTTGACTGTCATATTTGAAGCTTGTGGGAATTTCAAGAGGTTTCGAGAGGGGACTCAGGTTCATGGGTTAGTTTCACGCATGGGACTTGAGTTTGATGTTTTCTTAGGGAATTCAATGATCTCGATGTACTGTAAATTTGGTTCAATGGATGCAGCCAATGCAGTCTTTACCATGATGAGCAAGAAAGACATTGTTTCTTGGAATTCCTTGCTCACGGGTTTTGTGCAGCATGACCAATTTTTCGAAGCCTATGAGCTTTTTGAGAAGATGCCGAGGAAAGATGTGGTTTCCTGGACAAACATGATCATAGGACTTTCTGGGAAGGGAAACATCTCTAAATGTTTAGAGTTGTTTAAAATGATGCCTGAGAAGGATGGCATTGCCTGGACTGCTGTGATAACTGGGTTTGTGGCTAACGAAGAGTATGAAGAGGCTCTTTGCTGGTTTGCTAAGATGCTCCATGAAAACGTTTGTCCGAATCCTTCTACTTTCAGTTGTGTGCTTAGTGCATCAGCTTATTTAGCCGCACTGAACCAAGGACTGCAGATCCATGCTGGAGTTGTGAAATTGGGCATGGAGTGTAAATTATCAGTTCAGAATTCTCTTGTCTCAATGTACTCCAAATGTGGAAACACATACGATGCTTACAAGATCTTTTTATGCATTAATGAGCCCAATGTTGTTTCCTATAGCACCATGATTGGTGGGTTTGCCCTGAATGGTTTTGGAGAAGAAGCTCTCAAAGTATTTACAAAGATGGAAAGTGAAGGAAAGAAGCCGAATGATGTCACCTTTCTTTCTTTGTTATCAGCTTGTGCTCATACGGGACTTGTAGGTTTGGGATGGAAATACTTCAAGTCAATGAAATCTATGTATGAGATCGAACCAAATCCAGATCATTATGCATGCATGGTTGATCTCCTCGGCAAATGCGGATTGCTAGATGAAGCATATAACTTAATCTCTTCAATGCCTTTCGAACCTCATTCTGGGGTTTGGGGCAGCCTTCTTGGTTCGTGCAAGACTTATTTACATCTTGATCTAGCAGAGCTTGCGGCCAAGAAACTAATGGAGCTTGAGCCCGAAAGCGCAACCCCTTATGTGGTCTTGTCCCAGTTGTATTATATTCAGGGGGAAAAGAGAGAGAGTAATCGGCTAAGGAATATCAAGAAATCGAAAAGAATAAAGAAAAACCCAGGGTGTAGCTGGATCTTATTAGGAGACAAAGTCCATCCTTTTTCTGTAGGAGATGAATCTCATATGAACGTGGATGAAATAAAAGTTACGCTGGAGTTGATTCGAGAGGAAATGGAGTTGTCTCTTGGCCACGAGGATATTTGTTATTAAACATGGATGGGATAAATTCTTTCACACAGTTTTCTCTTGCTCAAGACCATATATATATGCCTTCCTTGTTAATATGCTGGCATCAGGAAGTACAAATATTAAGGATAATCAGTCCAAGGCATCTACATGTGGCTTACCTGGTTGCAATTACTGATATAAGGAAGGCATTGCATATTGCATGCACAAAACCGAAATTTTCAGAGCCATACGTGGAAATTCTTTGTTCCTGAAGAAAAGATTGGTGAGTCTAGTCCTGGGTAAATTTTGGGTTTGTCTTCAGTTCATAGTATTTGTTTACACTATGCTCTTACAGGTCAAGAGCTGAAATGGCTTATTATGTACAGGCCTTAAACATGCTGCTCTGGTTGCACCAACCAAGTATGAACTGTAAGTACCCGGTTTTGTTTACTGTGGACTTTCTATCATCTTTAATTGTCTAGATATTAAGACGCTCATAATGCCCTAGAATCATACTGATTTATGAAATCTCATACTTTGTTTTTGATATCCCACAATTACATGACTATGAAAAGGAGAGACATAATTGAAATAAATCAAGAAAAAGGAAAGGAAAACACACTGTAGAGTTCATCCCCAGCCTCTAGAACTACAAATTCATTATATGCTCTTCTTTTGAAACTGCAGGCTGTCTTTGAAACTATGTCCTGTCCTTTCAATAACTGCTATAAACTTCACATTAACATCTGAGAAGGATGGTTTCTGCACATGTTCTTGTTATTCTTCAAACATTCTCATTGATGTTTCTTGTTAGTGAACACGCTTTTTAACTAGAATAACCCCCACCGCTACCAGCCAGCCCACTGTGGCTACCCTGTGAGCCACTAGGCCCAGACCAATTGCTTGCTTGATCGATTCTATATCCTTGGTCATCGTTTCCTACAGATGAGCTCTTCTGGGAAAAATTGTCTCCTTGATCATATACATCATCTTTGCTACTAGCCCTAGAAGAGGAGTGGCTCAAATATGTGAAGTCATAAATACCCCGTTCTCCACCATGCTCCATTTCTCCAATTGCCTCTGTTATACTACCGGTCCCTTGTTCCTCATAGGAATGTTGATGGATAGCAGTGACTTCTCGGTTAAAACGATCAATATATGATTCGTTGCTGGAGATACTGGGCTCTGCAAAACTGTTCCGGTCAAATTCCTGGGAGCTGCTTTCATATTCATATCGTCCTTTTTTGCTTTTGCGACCTCTGTTGCAGAAAGAACATAGGACAGAGGCATAGAAGATGAGGATAACTGTCAAAGCATCCATTTCTTTAGCAGCCTTGTTGGATTGTTCTTTTACCAACCTGAGTTTTCACCAGTTCTTTCCTTAGGTTTCAGAACAAGAAAACTCAGGCCAACGCTTGAACAATATCCTGAAAGAATATTCTGTCTTAGGATTTTTATATAAAGAAAAATGGTCAGCATAAGCAGTTTGATTGAATAAGAAATATAGGAAAGATGCTGGTTTGATTTCTGTACTAATAATATACAGGGTATCCCGTGTTAACTTTTGATTCATTCTTCGACATAACAAGCAACTTCTCTTGGATGCAAAAACAGGGCCAAGAAAGAGCCAGATTAGGCAGGAAGATGCTTCAGAATTTTTGGTATCGACAAAGGGCTTATACTATATTTAACTAGATTTCAAAAGATAGCTATATTTTCAAACTTGTAATTAGTAATTTCTTGGTGGATGGCTTTAGAACAGGAAGATGGAGTAACATGGTGAAGAAACAGAGTGGCAGAAATGCTACAAATTATCGGTGTTCTTGAGCCAAGGGAGACCAGAAATCATGTCTTTTTGTTTGGAGAATTTCATTTTCTTCGTGGGTATTGAATTCTTGTGTCAATGATTGGTTTGTTGCAAGCTATAACTCTCTATATCTCACTGTTTAATGGCAATTCTCTAAAATTTTCCATTCTACGTGACAGAGTGTTTCAGTTAGGGGAAGCATTCATGACTCCAAGATGGTTTCAGAGCTTTTGAAGATTTCAGGGGAATTCTTAAGAATCTCAAACACAGTATTTGTAAGTATTCTCCTCTATGTTTCATCCATTTCCTTGGGTTTCTTGTTGACGAACTATGGCGGGGAGACAAGAACTTGGTACTATGATTTCAGATATGTTACGTACACAAGGAAACAGTTTTATTATTCATTGCTTGATCTTTGACCAGCAATGGAACGGCCTTCAATGGTCTGATTCGGACACAGTAGCTCATCTAATGGCGTTTCCATAGACAAAAACTGATTTACAAGTCTTCATATCTTGTCTTTTTCTTCTCTCTCTTCAGTTGAAATTTTGATCAGCAAATTCTTATGTTTAAGAGCTACCAGTTCAGATCTATCTCAAATTTCTCGTCCTTTGAAAATGTTTCCACCCTCTCTTTGTAATCTGAGATTCTTTTTTCTTATTTTCTTATCGGAAAATAAGTATAAAGTGACGAACTTGCAGAATACACTGACATCTGCTATCATGAAAACAACATGTTAGCACGTCTTGTCCCTTTCCACACGGCTCAGGGTTTACTTTGAAAGTTTCTTCTTCATTCTTGCACAGCACATCATCTGAACTAGTTTGAACACTTCCAACTGCAGGAAGCGCCCCGAGAAAACCAGTAGCCGCTGAGACAAAATATGTAGAGACAGATTTGGAGAAAACAAATCACTCCAAGCAATAGGGTATGTATGTATGCGTGTGTGTCTGTGCGCGCGCGCGCAATCCATATATATATCATCATGTCTATCCTATAGTATATGAAAAGATTTGAGGATTCTCAGGTGTTGATATCGAGTTTAAAAGAGAAGATGGGCTAGAAGGAAAATGATAAGTGTCCCACATTGGAAAATGAGAGGTATTTGGGCCATAAGGGTCAAACCTCCACTCTTAAGCTAGCTTTTGTGGTGGAGTTAGGGCCTAAACCTTATTAATTGGTATCAGAGCCTAACTCTCTATTTTTCGCTGGGCCTTTGACGGGCCGTTCTCCTGCGGACATGCGGTCGACTCGGTGGTTGTGGCGCCAGCGACCAGATTTGCCCCAGCGCCGTGGACGTCGCTGTCTAAAGGGGGCGGTATTGATAAGTGTCCCACATTGAAAAATGAGAGGTATTTGGGCCAATATATAAGTAAGGGTCAAACCTCCACTCTTGCTAGCTTTTGTGGTGGAGTTAGGGCCTAAACCTTATTAGAAAACTTGCATTACATTAAGGTGCAGCGAAATTGTTTGACTCTATCTCTCTGAATGTTCATGTTTAAGGTTACACCCTGAACTTATCATTCAAGCCTTTCATCTCCAGATTACTTTACAAAAGATCCAAACATGGAGAAAACGTATTTATCAGATTCCATCAGTTTGATGGTTGACCGGATTGACGTTTCCCATGAACTCCCGAAATACTTCCAGGGACAATCTTTCGATCTACTGCTGAAGAGATTGAAGATTTCTCTGCTGACAACAAATGGGTTGTTTGGAGAAGCTGAGAGGAAAGGAGTCAGTCCTCGAGATGTTAAGCTTCGGCTCCCGGAATTGATAGAAGCTTTCTTCCAAGCCGAGGATATCTTCGAGGAGATATCAACAGAAGCTTTGAGACGAACGGTCGAAGAAAAATATGGCAGCTTCACCGGCCAAATTCGCAGCCTGATATCTGGACACCGATCCTCCTATAAAGAGACGGAATCCAGAATGGAAGAGATAGTCGATCAGCTAGAACAACTTGTCAGAAGCTTACAGGAAAAAATGCCGACACTGACAGGTGGAGAAGTTTCTGGGCAGCAAAGATCACCATCATCGATAATCCTTCAATGTGGTCTGGTTGGCCGTGAGAACGACAAGGAAGCAATTATCCGTTTGCTACTTTCCGACGGTGCAATTGGAGATGAGAAGCATTGCTTCATCGCCATAGTCGGAATGCCTGGGATTGGTAAGACTGCCCTTACAAATGCTGTTTACAATGACGAGAGGGTCGGTGAGTATTTTGATCTTAAAGCTTGGATCTGTGTCGGGAAAGAATTCGATGTCCTCAGGGTGACTAAGTCTGTTCTTGAGCAGATCACGTCCTCTGAAGTTAGCCTCGAGGTTCTACCTATGCTTCAAGAACAGCTAAAAGAGAATCTTTCAGACAAGAAATTTCTTCTTGTGATTGATGATTTCTGGATAGAGAGCAAACCAGATTTGGAAAGTTTCCAGAGAGCTCTGGCCAGTGGACATGAGAGAATTGCAATAGTTGTAACAACACAAAGTGAATTTATTCCCCATATCACCATGACTGTTCAAAGCTACCCACTGAGGTTGACTCGGTGGTTGTGGGACGGTCGGGAGAGGGACGGTCGGGAGAGGAACGGTCGGGAGAGGAACGGTCGGAGATGGACCGAAAAGCCGCCATCGACCGAGAAGCCGCCAGCGACCAAATTTGCCCTAGCGCCGTGGACGTCGCTGTCTAAAGGGGGCGGTATTGATAAGTGTCCCACATTGGAAAATGAGAGGGATTTGGGCCAATATATAAGTAAGGGTCAAACCTCTACTCTTAAGCTAACTTTTGTGGTGGAGTTAGGGTCTAAACCTTATTAGACATCTGAAGATTGCTGGGAGCTGATCTCAAGAATCGCGTTTGGAGATATATCGCCCGGTTTCATCGATCCAGAACTGGAAAGAATCGGCAAAGACATTGCTAACCAATGCAAGGGCTTGCCTCTGTCTGCGTTAACCGTCGCATCTCACCTTCGATCAAGGCCAAATCCACGAGAATGGTCCTCCGTATCAACGGATTTTTCAAGATACACTCGCGATATCCTTCCAGTTCTTAGGAGGAGCTATGATTCTCTACCTTCTCAGCTTAAGCGATGTTTTGCCTTCTGCTCGGTATTTCCAAAGGGGTATGTGTTTGACAGGCACAAGTTGGTGCTTCTGTGGATGGCGATAGACCTGTTATACCAACCAGGGAGTGAGAAAAGAATGGAAGATATCGGTTACGAGTACCTCGATGAACTGGTTTCTAGATCCTTTTTCCAGCCACTGGACAGCAACATGACAAGTTTGACGATGCACGATCTCATGAGTGATCTATCCAAATCTGTGTCTGGAGATTTTTGCTTCAGACAGGAAGATGATAGAACCTTAAAGACACCAGACAAGGCTCGGCATTTTTCGTTTTCAAGAAGCCAATGCGATGCTTCATTGGCTTTTAGCTCCATCTGCCGAGCTAAACTCCTGGGAACCATTCTACCATTCGATCTGCCACCGTATCTTGAATCTCTCCCGCTGAAAAAAGAGGTTCTCAATGAGCTGTTCCAGGCTCTGAAACATCTAAGGATACTTTCTTTGTCGGGTTATCATTTAACCAGCTTGCCTGAATCATTCAAGGGTTTGAAACACTTACGGTATCTAGACCTCTCGAGCACCGAAATGAAAAGGCTACCCGAGTCTTTCTGCACTTTGTATAACCTGCAGACTCTACTACTGTCGAACTGCCGTTCCTTCACAAAATTGCCGACAAACTTGTCCAACCTCATCAATTTAAGGTACCTCGACCTTGAGGGGACTCCATTGACAGAGATGCCGGTAGGAATAAGCAAGTTAAGAAGCCTGCAAAAGCTGTCTAACTTCCTTATGGGAAGAATGAATACAGGTGCAGGGCTGCATGAGCTGAAACAACTTACCAATCTTCGTGGGTCACTCTGTATCACTGAGCTACAGAATGTGGCCTTTGCCAATGAAGCAAAGGATGCAGGGTTGGAGCGGAAGCCATCACTTAGAGATTTAGTC